GTGTTCAGTAACTCCCGAGCGCCAGTTGCGGTTTATCTGAGTTGACGAGAAGTCATGCCTGTCCCGCAAGGCAAGAGAGCCACGGAAGGCTTTGGGAGCTGCTGTTGAGAAGGCACAGTGGAGGCTCGGCATTGATTGTTCTACTCGTCCCATAAAGGATTTCATGATAATGTCGTTCCCGTTTTGTGCTGAAGCCCGGTTGTAGAGTCGTAATAGGGATAGAAATAGTTTGTTTTGCTTTGCGGATAGCTCGGATGCACACCATGCTCGACCACTACATTGGCTTTCGCTCGGCTGTTGGGGAAAGTATTCAACCACTTCCCCAAGCACTTCGCTCAAAGGGAGCATGGAGTTGTTGAGACTAGAGAGCATGATCTCGGCATGTGCTTCTTGCACACCAGTCAATACCAAGTGTGCCAAGTGCAGTGTCGCCATCTCTCCAATCCCCGACCATTTACTACCTCTTAAGACATCAAAAGTAAAGGCCAAAAGTGGACGAGTGGCAGGTTCCCCAGATTCCTGTTGATGTCAGCTGTTAAGGGTTGTTCACGGACAGGAGCGCTTATACTTACAGCTAAAGATTTTGCGAGGCGTGGAATTAGTCGATGGGGTATCCTTTCCATAGTCTCTTGGCTATTCTTGGACAAAATGATCTTTATCCCAAGTTCCCGTAGCTGGGGTGGCAACGAATGTGCCGGGAGAAGTATGTGCAAAAAGATGATTGCCTATTATCAAGTGATTAGCATTTTGACTCGGCACGCAAACAGTCATAACTAACCATCGTTTGTGTTTCACCATAGAGACCATCCCTGAGAGCCTTCTCGCACAGCTTAGCAATCTTAGGACTATTACCTGCCATCCAAGCCTGTTTCTGCTCAGGCTCAATTGCGTCAGCAATACAAGTAGCCAGCCGAATACTCTCAGCCGCGTCGGGCGGTGCCAGATTGCAACTGGATGAGCAAGCTAGTATGACACGCAAAACGACTAAGTCGAGTGTTTTGAGACCCCGTTTCTGGCCAAAGAAATGCATGATGTTAAGAAGCCATGGGTTATCCGATCCGTGTTGATTTTGAGATGTTGTATTTAATGCCGTCGCAATCTGCGCAAAGGTTGCCAGACACAGGAGGTTGCCCATATGATCGTCAAGATTGCGCAGTGTCTTGGTGAACTCCAGCTGTAGATTGGACATGACCTCGGACGGAATGTCATTCAAGATCCTTGGCGAGCCTTTGAGTCCTGAGACGAGTGCATGGATAGGTGTTACAGTGTCAACACATGGGTTCTCTGCCATCATGCCGACCAGCTTCGTGATGAAGGGGGCAATCCTTGCTGGTGGCACAATACCCGCTGGCAGGGGCGATGAGAATAACGCGATACATGCCGGAAAATACTGAAATAGTTAGCTGACACCCTCCAGCCAGGATTTGTTGGCTTCGAGGAATGAAGCTCACCTCAGCCCCATTAGTGTCAATGGCCTTTTCTAAAAAGGCATCCAAAATTACCGGATGTCGCTCGAGCAGCACATCTCTAAAGGACGATACAGGTGCTAAAACATGTCAGACTCGAGATTTCAATAAGACTTCCAACGAGCACAAACCGAATGCAGTGATCAGAGGCAGAGCGACGCGTGATCGCGATAAGGCGTCGACCAAAACATCAGCCAACAAGCCAACTTGGCAGGGCTTGCACAGTGCCCAGGCGCCAATTGTCGAAGATTTGCCTTGCTGCACCAGATCATGAAGGTCCTAGTGTTACATTGTTAGCATGTACATGTATACTCCGATGCCAGTCCAGATCGACTTACCTGTAGCGAAGGTACATAAGGTGCGGTGACCAGACGTTCCACCTCGCGCACTAGTTGAGCGAGTTGCTCTGCCATCACTTTAAAATTTGCATGTATGTTAGGTGGGTTTGGTAGTTAGTAGTGGTTTCATCTGACCCGAGGTTGATGTTGGTTGTTTGGTGTACGAGGTTTCTCTGCCCTCTCCGTTGCCCCATCAACCATTGACATCTTTACTTTTTTTTCTACTTTCTCTCCCAATTGTTAGTTGTTTATATAGTCTTCAAAGAGTATTATATTGTGAAGAGAAAATACAATGTAAATATAATAGGTTCCGCTTGTTAAAAGTAGAAATAAAAGACAACCACCAGAGTACGGCAGTCTATGGCCAGTGTACATAGTAAATTTTGACCGCCTGGTTCACCGCCGTCCTCTTATCGCCCTTTACCAACTCCATATAGAACCTTTGAATTACCGTGCACTACTTGGACTCGGTAACTCTTCTATTTCTGTTCTGTATCTAGAGAATGGCTATCAATAATTGACCTTCAACTTCCATTTCTGACTTCGATATTAGTGTATTCAGTATGAAACACTTATATTACAACAGATTCTGCCAGCAGAATTGGAATTGGCGGTAACTACCGTACTGCCGTAGACCGGAGTTCTCGCTACGACTCCGTTTCTCTTCCTATTCGCCCTATTTGCCCCCACGCTCGGCTTCTCCACATCTCGGTAATGGCAGTCTTAAGAGTGGGATTATAGTGGTTGTGTATAGTGAAATTAGAGTGGATTATGGCATTATAAGGGACCAAGCAGCGTCTCTCGGCCGAAGTGCGATGTCAAGGTACAAAAGGCAGGTCACATCATGCCTGCATTATCGAATCATTTCTCCCTTTTTTTTTAAACACAACTCAATTCTAATCTCAACATAATTTTCCACGATGCGGCCAGTCCTCCGGGTCTCAAGAGCACTACCGGCTCAGGTTTCTCGGCCCCAGATATCGCGCACTATTCTGGCTCGCGGTGCTAGATTAAACAGTTCAGATGCCAGAAAAACAGAGAACACAAGAGAGGGCAATTCCTCATCTACAAACGCTCCCCCTTCACCCTTTTGGACCCCGGCCAAGGCTCTACTCGTCTCCGCATTTGCTGCGGGGTTAGGCTACGGCGTCTCCTCATATACCCAGACACCGGCACAGACACCGGCACAGACATCCAAAACTCCACAGTATGGCTCAGTGAAGGACTTTGAAAAGGTAGATCCCTCAATTGCGGCATAATCTCACACCAGTCCCGGGCCATCCAAACTAACAACTCCCCCAGGCCATCAACGAACTAAGAACCAAGCTCGGCGAAGACACAGTCAGCACCGAAGAAGACGAACTCCACCAACACGGCTTCTCAGAATGGTCCAGTCTAAATGCCGACCGTCTCCCAGTCGCAATCGCATACCCCAAGACCACCCAAGAAGTCTCCGAGATCGCTAAAGTATGCAACAAATACCGCATGCCCATGATCCCCTACTCAGGCGGATCGAGTCTGGAAGCCAATTTCTCCGCCCCGCACGGCGGCATGACAATCGATTTCGCCTTCATGAACAAAGTCCTAGAAATCCACCCAGATGATATGGACATCGTCGTACAACCCTCTATTCAATGGATGGATCTGAACGAGCAGATCAAGGAAACCGGCATGTTCTTCCCCGTCGACCCAGGCCCATCCGCCATGATCGGCGGCATGGTCGGCACAAATTGCAGTGGCACCAACGCCGTCCGCTACGGTACCATGAAGGACTGGGTGATTAACCTCACAGTCGTCCTGGCTGATGGGCGCATCATCAAAACCCGCAGACGTCCCCGCAAGACTTCCGCCGGCTACAACCTGACCGGAATGTTTGTTGGCTCCGAGGGTACGCTCGGTATCGTCACTGAGGCTACGTTAAAGCTCGCCCCGCTCCCAGAGCAGACTCGCGTTGGCGTCGTTTCATTCCCGACTATTCGTGATGCGGCCTCGACCGCTATGCAGGTCATTAAGAAGGGTGTCTCTGTACAATGTATGGAGATCATGGATGATGTTCAGATGGACGTTATTAATCGCGCCGGTGGAACCGGCCGTGAATGGAAGGTCTCTCCTACGCTGTTCTTCAAGTTCTCCGGAACTGTCGCTGGCGTCGCGGATAGTATCGATCTGACGACGAAGCTCGCCCAGGGTAACAAGGCGCAGTCTTTTGAATTCGCTCGTGATGACCGCGAAGCTCATGATCTTTGGTCGGCGCGCAAGCAGTCGCTGTGGAGTATGATGGCGTTGCGCAAGGAGGGATCGGAGGTCTGGTCGACTGATGTGGCTGTGCCCATTTCTCGACTGCCTGATATAATTGGTATGACCTCTTCAAGACTTACTTCGTTGCATGTATACTGACTCCTGCCAGAAATCTCTAAGAAGGAATTGGTTGACCTAGGCCTTTTCGCCAGTATCCTTGGCCACATTGGCGATGGAAACTTCCATGCTAGCATTATGTATGACCGCAACGACCCCGCCCAGCGGGAGCGGGTCGAGAAAGTAGTGTACGATATGGTTGATCGTGGGTTGGAAATGGAGGGTTCATGCACAGTAAGTCGTTCCTCTTGGAGATACCAGAATATCAGCTAATTCAGTACTACAGGGCGAGCATGGCATTGGGCTGGGCAAGAAAGGATCCTTGAAGAAGGAAGTTGGACCGGACACAATTAATGTTATGCGCAGTATCAAGCGTTCATTGGATCCGAACTGGCTGCTGAACCCTGGCAAGATCTTCGACTACGACGACGTGACACCGGGCCCGGGACATTGATTGTGATTTAACATTCAGCTTTTATACATATATAAGAATAATCTTCTAGGCTTTCCAGTGAAATCGTGCGAATACTTGAATTTTATTATTATGACAGCCACCTCCGGAGTGGATGACTGATCAGCCATCAAACCAAGGGCCCACGGTGAGTCCGTCCAGGGAGTAGAAATTCAATATCCAGCTTGGAATAGTGCACTTGGACTCAGTGATATGATATTCGAATTCAGTTATACAACATTGTTGATCCCCGGATAATAGATCCAGTCGTGCGTCCGGATTGGATAGACCATCAAGACCCTTTCTAGACTGCCCAGGCAGTACATATATCTTAGTCAAAAACTGTGCTATCCTTGGAAGGGTGCACAATTAGACTTTCCCAATTTATTGTTATAACGGTGATGTTTGCTCAGAGCCCAGGACCTGAAAATATCGCTCGAAGAGAGTCGCACTCCACTGACAGCCAGTGCCTGAGCTCGGGTTATCCGTAGGTTCAGTGGCTGGTTCCAAGTGAGATGAACTGTCGATAGCTGTCGGGGCCACCGCAGCAGCATTTGCCAACGCCCACATACGGGGAAGCTGTTCCTGGGTTTCTGATTGAACGGTTGGTACCTGAGAACGGCAGTTCGGGGCTATGGATTCCAACTCGCCTGGGGAACAACGGGAAGAACTAATATCGTCTTCTCTATGGCGCTTTAATGTCCCCAATCCAAGCTGCTGTGGTGATTCTGTATCCACGGTGTTTGATCCTTCAAATCCGCTGTCATCATCTGGTGAAGCACCCCATTGGGATGGGTTGATCTGAATCATGTCCCGAGAAAATAGAGCCTTGGTGCGTAGCTCCTCAATATTCTCCCAGCGGCAATCACGTTGGGCATCACCATCAACCTTCAAGTACTCGTATGTCTCATTGACCGCTTGCCATGCCGAATCCAATGCCTCCCCTTTCGGGGCCAGAGAAAGGTTGATGAGCAGACATGTCAAGGCATCCCACTCGATGTGGTTTGGGAAAGTCCAGAGCCACTGACTGACCTTTCCATGGCGTTTCAAAGCCGAAGTGTCCTGCAGAATCTCTATGCAAACCTTTCGGAAGTTGACATGCGTGAGCATAGACTGGTCTTGTCTCGCTCGGGGTTTGATCACTGCCAGTTTGAGCTTTGCGAGTATCAGATTGCTGGAGACAGTTGTGAAATAGTCTAGCGCAATGCTTTGATCTAGATGCGATAGATATTGCTGTTCCACTTTCTCTTTGAAGAGATCTATTGTAGTGCATTTCTGCGAAGCTGATAAAACTGGGTAGCAGTTCTCTTCACAAAACTGTTCAGGGAAGATAGTTCGGCGGGCAAAATTGCTGATCTCAGACCTTGTGAGGCTCAACACCATCTCTGTCTTCCCGCTTTTTCGAGGTGGGTCCTTCATATCAGGGTCAAGACTTGCATCGCTCACATTCAAAGGCAGTCTTGTGTCGAACCATGACTCCAGAATGCGCGGGTTGGTGCTACAATCCTCTGCGATATTGATATCTAGAATGTAGATCTGCCACCAGAGTCGACGCCGCATCTCGACTTGGAAGGGTGGTAGTTGTGAAGCGGATGCATCGCGATGCAGGCCGATTTTGAGGGCAATTCCAATGGCATTCCCAAGAAACTTGCTAATGTATGGCCCTTTATTGTAATGCCTGCTGCAAGCCTAAAGCAATTGTCAGATAATATAAGATCTCCCCTTGTTTCGTTATCACGTACGATGTATATGATCAAGGCTTGCAGGACAGTAATTTCCAATAAATTCAATAGATCAGCTTTTGCGAGCGCGCTTTCAACTGCGGCGCGATATCTTGGAATGTTAGCAGGATGACTTATATCTTTAAATCAGATACATACCTATTCAATACTTCGAGTTTGTCTTCATCAAGCTCAACCCGACAATCTTCCACTGTCATTGTTGTCACAGCAGCATAACAAATGGCGAATAGCAAACACTCTGTGGTCTCTCGAGACTGTATGCTATTTAATATCTGTCTCTGGACCGTTGGTGCATGTAGAATTTTGAGGATTGGCTCCACGTTCTCTAAGTACTTCTGCCACAGGAAAGATACCACAACCCGGGGAGGGCAACGATATTCGACTACGGAAGTCGGGAGAGATTTGGATAAGGGTAGGCTTTGATTCAGACTTCCATCATCTCTGTATCTTTCATCAGGCTGATACGCCGGGTCATGGCCATGACTTCCCCCAACGGATGGCGATGAAGATTGAGTTTTCAAAAGCCCCTTGAGTTGAGAGACACTTTGCTCAAAAGAACCTAATTTATGTTCAATTCTTTCGATGCGGTCTACCATATCATCGCCGGGTTTATTGTTCCCAGTTATGGGAGGTTCGGCTATTGGCGATGGGTAGCTGCATTGTATCTTGACTTTGACGCAGTACGAGCAAGGTAAGGACCTGTCACATTTGATTTTGCGTCGGCGACACTCGAAACAAGAGCGCACTGTGGTGCTAGGTGGATGGAGCATTGATTGAAATTTTGCTCGGAGCCGTCACAATGACTCCAGCGGGGAATTGAGAGGCTGCAAGCAAAGACAACATAAGCAACTTGAAGTCGATGATGCGAGACTGTGAGCTGATTGGTCAGAGCGGAGCGGCGGAGGCCCCAGTCCGCATTTCTAAGCGGCCCACCTGGACAAGCACTTCGGAGACGGAGTAGATCATCATGTTATTTCTCTTACAAAGGTTTCTTTAGAATCATGAGAAGTTTCGTTTAATTGGTTGAAGCGGGGCAGCGGACAGAGATCCGCATTGTTGTGCCACGTAGTATTTGCATACACATTCTGTGATATGAAATCAGCATCAGATAGGGAGAGCGAAATAGCGCAGGACTAAAGCATATAAAAATGTCATTCCGTCCTTGATGATGGACATTTCTCAAGCACGAAAGCACAAGTATTTTCATTCAAAATCATTACTTCATCTACAGCACAACAACCCAAAATGGCATCCTATTTGAAGAACGTTGCAATCATTGGCGTACGTCAATTCCATCCTCAAACTATACATATCACCCCAGCTGACAACCTAGCAGGCTAGCGGCAGTATAGGCAAAATCATTCTCGATGGCCTTGTTGCATCTTCCCAGTTCGAAATTACCGTCATCTCCCGCAAGGAGAGCGAGGCAACCCTCCCACCTGGACCTGGAGTGACTGTTCTCAAGAGCGACTACTCAGACAAAGGTCTCGAGGCTGCATTCAAGGGCAAAGACGTTGTCATTTCGGCGGTGGGTGCCACGGCGTTCGGAGAACAGAAGAAGTTTGTCGATGCAGCCATCCGCGCAGGTGTCAAGCGTTTTATCCCATCTGAGTTCTCGGCAAATAGCCAGAACGATGCTGTGTTGCAATTACTGCCACTATTCGAACAGAAGAAGGAACTCATCGAGTACCTCAAGAGTAAGGAGACCGACAGGTTGACCTGGACTGGTATTGCTGCTTCCGGCTTGTTTGACTGGGTAAGTCTTCCATCGCGAGTTAGAATTCTTGATCGTGAGCTAATCAGTGAGTTTTGAATAGGGTCTTGCAAATGGCTTTTTGGAATTTGACATTGCCAGTCATACGGCTACTATTTGGGATGGGGTAACAAGAGTTTCACCTTGACCAATCAGAAGGCCCTCGGTGATGCTATTGCTTCTGTCCTGCTGCATCATGATAAAACTAGAAACCAGTTTCTGTTTATCGCCACGGTTGAAACCACCCAGAAGGACATCCTTGCGGCTTTAGAGGAGGAGTCAGGAGTGAAATGGACGGTGAACGAGACTACCACTGACATTCAAGTCACTGGGGCCGTCGAAAAACTTGCTGCTGGGGACTTTAGTGGTGCTTTTTCTCTGGTTCGAGCCACTGTGTATGGCAACACCCCGGGTCTCCATTCAAACTATGCCAAAGAGGAGAAGCTGGCAAACGATGTGTTGGGACTCCAATTGGAAACTGTCAGCAATGTCGTCAGGCGTGTGCTTAATAAATAGAACAATCTTTTAGCCTTATCACAAGCTACTTTTTGGGTGTCGTTGTCTTCTTTTCCAACGAGACATGACTACCATAGAAAGAAATAATGCAAACAAGACAAATCCTGGAACATTAAACTTTGACTCAGGTCCCACATATTCTGGCCAATCGGGGAGTAGAGACTTTGTCCGAACGCAGAACACTGACTAGTCTGACTAATCGCGGGGCAAGGCAATTGGCTGAGACCGATATCACTGTCACAGTGAAATGTTACAAGCCTTCAACCACATCACCAGCGAAGCAGTAAGTACAGTTGTGTTTCATGTTGATATTTTTGCTATAAATGTTTCCTGCGACTCTAAGCCATGTAATCCGTGAGGTATTGAAGCTGGCAGAGCCTCCATATACTGCATGCGGGGCTCTCGAAACGCTTTGACTCATACAGGCCTCTGGTAGTATGTGAACCAATTCAGCATAGAGCCGTTGTTCTTTTGTATATCTTTTGATTGATCGCGAGTTTTGACTTATTGGAAATTTTGGTTTGCTAACTTACACAAGACTAATACCCATTTTCATATAAAACCCAAAAAGCGAAATGGCTGCTGCATTCCCGAAGAAGAAGTGCGGTACGTTCTTGAAAATTTTCAAGCCATCCCATCCATTGCTCGATCCTAACATTTTACAGGTGTTCTCGGTGCCACTGGATCTGTGGGCCAGCGTTTTATCCTATTGCTGGCAGACCACCCCTTCCTTGAGCTTCAAGCCGTGGGTGCTTCTGAGCGTTCAGCCAACAAGAAGTACAAGGATGCCGTGAACTGGAAGCAGGCTTCTCCCATGTCTGAGAAGCTAAGCAACTTGGTCATGCGTGACTGCAAGCCCGAGCAGTTCTCTGATTGTGACCTTGTCTTCTCTGGACTGAACAGCGATATTGCTGGCGAGACGGGTATGTGATATCAGATATATCAAATTAACAAACTAGATGATGTACTGACATTTCACGCAGAAATGGCATTCATTAAGGCTGAGATCCCTGTGTTCTCAAACGCAAAAAACTTCCGCAAGGACCCCATTGTTCCTTTGGTGGTTCCTACTGTCAACCCCCAACATTTGGATCTGATTCCTCACCAGCGTGAGAAGTACGGTCTGAAGAAGGGCTTCCTGGTCTGCAACTCTAACTGTGCCGTCATTGGCATCGTCATTCCCTTCGCGGCTCTCCAGGCCAAGTTTGGCCCTGTTGAGGAAGTCGAGGTTTTCACCGAGCAGGCCGTCTCTGGAGCCGGCTACCCCGGTGTACCTACCATGGACATCCTCGACAATGTCATCCCCTACATCAGTGGAGAGGAGGACAAGCTCGAGAACGAAGCCCAAAAGATTCTGGGTTCATTGAATGCCAGCGCCACCGGTTTCGAGGAACAGACTGGTCTCCGCATCGGCGCCACTTGCACCCGTGTTGGTGTTACTGACGGTCACATGGCTTTCGTTTCCTTGCGCTTCAAGAACCGCCAGACCCCCACTGCCGAGCAGGTCAAGGAGGCTCTACGGGAGTACAAGTCCGAAGCACAGAAGCTGGGTGCTCCTTCCGCACCAGAGCCCGCTATTAAGGTGTTCGACGCGCCCGACCGTCCCCAGCCCCGTCTCGACCGTAACATCTGCGGTGGGTACACAGTGAGTGTTGGCCGTGTTCGTGAGGGTGCCCCAGGCGGTCACTTTGATATCCGATTCGCTGCCCTCTCTCACAACACCGTCATTGGAGCCGCTGGATCATCCATCCTCAACGCCGAGGTTGCAGTTATCAAGGGCTACATTTAAGTTCGTTACGAAAAGTGGAATTATCAGCGCGTGTCAAATAGATACAAGTTTTCGTACAAATGAATTAGATCTCATTCGTCTCGATTCCTAAAATGGAAGCTCACGTGTCTACGGGTGGATCAGGGCCCCGAATGTAGATGACATAAGCAAGTGTTAAAAATCCACTAGTGGAGTCTGATTGGTCTGGGTGGGGAATAGGGCTCACAATCACCACACACTAAGCGAATTCCTCTCTGATTTGGATCACCATTTCGCGGCTTGAGCCTTCTCTTTCGACACTCCGACCACCTAACCTTCAGTCGACAAATCAGTCAAAATGCGCGGCCCGTAAGTGTCATGAGATCGCCCTCTACATCACTATTCTGCACACTGGCCTCGTCTATCTGCCGGATTGCGAGTTCAGCCAGTCGCTGCGAGAGTGATCGAAAATTTCTCGGCTTGGAACACCATCACTAACAAGAATGTTTCTTGCAGCGGAAAGCACCAGAAGCGCCTCAGTGCGCCCTCGCACTGGCTCTTGGACAAAATGTCCGGAACCTACGCGCCCAAGGCCTCCCCCGGTCCCCACAAGCTCCGGGACTGCCTTCCCCTGATTGTCTTCATCCGTAACCGGTACGCTCGCGACATCCTGAATTCCTCGCCACGCAACGAACAATCACTGACAATTCTTTCGTTGATAGTCTCAAGTACGCCCTGAACGGTCGCGAGGTCAAGGCCATCATGATGCAGCGTCTGGTCAAGGTTGACGGCAAGGTCCGCACCGACACCACCTACCCCGCTGGATTCATGGACGTCATCTCCCTCGAGAAGACCGGCGAGCACTTCCGTCTCGTCTACGACACCAAGGGTCGTTTCACCGTCCACCGCATCCAGGCTGAGGAGGCTGAGTTCAAGCTCTGCAAGGTCAAGCGTGTTCAGCTCGGCAAGGGCGGGATCCCATTCTTGGTTACGCACGATGCGCGAACGTGAGTTCCACACTCCATAAGTTCCGTGTCATTCAGTCGTTGGACCAAGCTTTGGTTGATCGGCGGAGGACAATGGAAACAGTAAGATCCTATTTAATCAGAACATGGTTTTGCTAACTTGCGATTGCGCTCCACAGCATCCGCTACCCCGACCCTGCCATCAAGGTCAACGACACCGTCAAGGTTGACGTTACCACTGGCAAGATCCTCGACTTCGTCAAGTTCGACTCCGGTGTTGTCATCATGGCCACTGGTGGTCGCAACATGGGTCGTGTTGGTGTCATCACTCACCGTGAGCGTCACGATGGTGGTTTCAACATCGTCCACGTTCGCGATGCTCTTGACAACCAGTTCGCTACCCGTGAGTCCAACGTCTTCGTCATTGGACAGGACAAGCCCTGGGTTTCCCTCCCCAAGGGTAAGGGTGTCAAGGTACGTTATATTCTCCCCAACACTGATCTCTCTATGAATTGTACCCTAACATTATTTTCTAGCTCTCCATTGCTGAGGAGCGTGACCGCCGCCGTGCCCACGAGCTCGCCAACTAAATTCACAATATCTTCTGATATACGTGGATTAGTTGACAGCTTAAAACAAACACTAAAACAGTAGCTGGGAAACGGCGTCTTGTCTTGCTTAACGGGCTTGGATAATGTAGGTTCGAACCATAGCAAACAAAACAGGAACGGGTTAACCGCTTCGTTTCCGAGTGATATGATACCATTTGACGTTACCTCTTTTTCAATTATTTAATGATCGTATTTTTACTTCACTTCCCTTGGTCTTCAACACTACCACTTGGATGATTAGCTCTTATGTCTGTGCTTATTGTTCCGCAATCATCCCAGGCATACCTTTATACACTCCTTGAAGACCAGGGGGACAGGTAGTTTTTTTTCCTTGGGTAATATGTAGTCAAGATGCGAATGCTTCTCAACCCCCAGATCCTACTAAGACTCGACCCCCGCTAGCACCAATCAAGCTCGTCTTGTAGACCAGAAGTCACTGCACAATAACGCCCCGGCTGAACCCGCCCAAGCAGTTTCAAGCTGAGACCAATCATCTCAGCATCAGAGAAGAAGATCCAAGACATGCATCATCCCGATCCAAAATGTATTGCCTACATGCTCATCTCCGGCGTGACCCCGGTAGCTCAAATGGATCAATCCATAGCACCAGCGCACCACCGCACCTCGGCTTATCCGATGCAACCGTCCTCCCGTGTCGGTGTACTCCGTACCTAGGTACATAGTAGCCCACCGCACGGGGAAAGCGGAGATTACAAAGTTTCCAGCCCACAATCCTGAAGAATAGCGAACTCAAGTCCGAGTCTTCTCGGCCAATGTTCTAATTCACAAGCTTGTGTATTATTAGCGCCTCATTGTTGACTTATACCCAAGCAGCCCGGGTCGCCCGCTATAGGAGAAAGATCATCACCTGCAGAGGTCAGCAGTGGCGATCAGTGGCGATCATGGCTGATGCCAGAGGTATCGCGGCCCAATCGATGGGTGTAGATCGGGATACTTGAATGGGCCAAGGATGGGGTTTGATATCCATATGCTGTGTAATGAAAATCGAGGTGTGTCCGGCAGATGGAGCTAGCTCATGCGATGCAACAGCAGAAAGTGTCCGATGTGGGGTTATTGCTCTACCGCCGGCCGTAAGTACTTGGTCTTTTGCTTATTCCGTACTGCATGTGTGCGTGTATAGTTATATATATATGGATCATGTGGGTGCTTGGCAGGGCTATTTGTTGTGGAAAGTAGGTACATATATATATGTCTACACTCCAGGTTAAAACTGGGTATATACGCGACCTTATGCAAAACAAGCAGGAAGAGCGAGAGCGAGAATGAGAGGCTATACGTCTAAGAATAACTTATTTATCTCCGGTATCGGATTGGGGAGGCAACCTCTCATTCTCTATCGGGATGGGTGGCGGTTCTAAAGTTGGGCGGCTCTGGAAAAGACCGGCTTTATAGATTTGGCGTTTGCTCGGTTCAATCTAAATTCCTCCCGAGTGATAACGGGAAAGACAGCAAGGGACGGGCGAACCAACTGGCTGGCACATTCAGTCTTTAGAATATTCTCTCTTTTTCTCCGACGGGTTATCATGGGTGGCGGTCGTACCGACGGAGTGGAACAGGATGATATGATAGATCCAGACTCAATTCTAGCACTCGTCCCACGTTCGGCACTCCACTGGGGACTCTGGGGATCAGATCTCCGTCGCCGTATTGCTGGAAATATGCACGACAGCATAGGATAGGGCCGTATAATTCTTGACCTGTCATTTTACGTAGTGTGGAGAGAGGAACTGGTCTTTGCATGGGTTAGTAGTGGTAGCATATCTAAAAAGGGAAAGACAAGGTTGAGGTAGTAACGAAGTGGCAAGGGGTCTGGCCTTGATGCGATTATATCGCTTCATGCTGCATTGTAGGTGGCTGGCTGCACTGTATTCTGGGAATTTGGAATCTAGGCTACACGAGACGCACAACTAGAAATAACTACTCCGTAACTATCTGGGGGATGCAGAACAATGCAGTTGTGGGTTAATTTTTAAGCGGGGACCCTCAGACCCAGAATGTTGTGTACTTTTGTTCAAACGCACACTCGATCAATTGATCCATCCAACTCGTATGAGGCGCCGACGATCTAAGACGACAGAAGTGGAGACTCGGTGTAAGTCCAAGCTGCATAGGAAGAGGCCAGATATTGTGTTTTTCAAATTGAAGCGAGTCACGGGGTTTTTCTATTTTTTATGTGTCGTAAATGCAAATGTTGGGCCTAGAACTTGGTGGTAGCGGCTCACTATAATCCCCGCATATCAATGCTGCACTTCAAATTATCATAGATGGTGCCCCAGGAAATAAATAAGATATCAAGTTGCGAAACTCAAGAAAATATCACCTTTTATGAATGATATCCCTCCCCACAAACTTTGGAACGCGTGGATCTAACCGCGGTCCGTCCCAGGCCCAAGGAACTGGGTCTATGGGGAGAATCTGAATGGAATTTCACGTGGTGGAGTTTGGAAATGATTGGACTGGAGAACATACCCATCGTAGAATTACTTACATTGTACTTCAACGCCCTGCTATGCGGTGGAGATTGGTTCGCACGCCACCGGCAGTCGAAATGTCGGTGGAAGGACTCAAAGAACATGAATAGGAAAGATGTGCTAACTAATCCTTTGGGTTTGAGATGTTGGATATTAAACTTTGGTGTTGGTCTAGCGGTGTACTAGTAAAAGTAAGGCTAAGAATTCCGCACGGGTCGAGTCAAGATAGTATTGTTTTTAATTGAGCTATAAGGGTACAATGGTATAATAAAGGTTGTTATCCTACCATTGTAGGTCACAAAGTTCAATAGTCTCGATTGGAAATTTGCCTAGAACTCGGTATTTTATGCTTATATGGTCCACTTCCATAAATATACTACGGAGTAGTAAATTCTATAATTCTTCCCGGTAGGATTGACGGGCAAACCAATAGCAGACTTCCATAAAATCCAACAAAGAAATAAACAAGTATTCCAAAGTGTTCTAAAGTGTTCGATTCATATATTCCCTGCGAATATTCCATGCGAAAACAATATGAAAAATAATAAAAAAATAATAAAAAACTCCTTCGATCGTCAGTGACTCCACATTGGCCTTTTTACGGCCACTACGTTAGCGCCCATTTTTGTGTACGAGATCTAGACCAATCAGTCATTTTTAGATATCGAGTGGACTCTCATCAATCTCAGACAGACAATATTACCTACCTATGTTGTAGGTAGTTACTTATCCACCTTTGACTAGTTAGTTAATTAGACTTCTCGATTTTGAAATTCCAGAATAATCTTTGTTTCAAGGAGGTTGACCGCTTCTCAACCGATTCCTTCAGCAACTAATGAGACCCTCTCTCTCCACTTGTCATATTGTTAACCGAGCTAAATCTTTCCAATCTTCCATTTCTGCAGCCCAACGGCCAACGGCCAACGGGTCTTCGGCATAACAATCTCGGTAACCAGCAGAGAAGCCCAACTTGCAGATCTAATTCCTTTTCATGGAGTTCACTAGTTTCTCCCCGATTTAGGACCCCTGGAGGAGGTTGTCCTTGGAGTCCGAACGAATCAAGTAAGCCCCTCCCTCGCCCCTCCAATATACTTCCCAATGGGAAATATTTCCCCCCTTTTCCCGATAACTAGTTCTTCTTCCCGTCAGGATGCCTTTCAGCAGCCTGGAAACTAGGATTTGCGCCCCCGGTTGTTAATATGCCCAGAGTTCCTGACCCATTTTCAACCCTCGTGATGTGTCGAACGTGGCGGAAACAAGTAACAGGGATAAAGGAAATCCATCGGCTCTGGTCTGATGTTTAAAACCAATCACCTTCACCTTTCCGAGTAACCCGCTTGTTTATTATCTGTGCGTTATTGAGTTATTTTCCTATTTCTCGTACACATACGGAGTACTCCCTCCGTACTTGTCCCTTCTCTCGCGCGTCTAACATACACCTCTCACCTGGGCATCCCTACCCTGTAATTACTCTATTCAAGCGCCGTGTTACATGAGCGTCAGCGTGTACTTTGCCTAATGTGTTGGCCTTGTTTTCTTTTCCCGATGGTGTCTGCATAAATGCAATCGACCAGCCCAGAAGAATCGGCCTTCGAATCGCCTCTCCAGACCTTTTCCACTCGAGGGGACAGGCAATATTCGTTACCCACGAAAGTGACCATGTCTGCTCAATCTAGCCTTGCGGCTTTAGACTGGGGGTATTCTTATCCGTTAATCTTCCGTCTCAACTTGGAGATTCCCGCCTTTTTCGTGTCTTATCGCTGGTGGGAAGATGAGGCGACAACTGTGTTCTGGGCCTTCGATATTCAAGAAATTCGCCGTGTGATCCAATTCGGTCTTTTTGGCGACGAAAATTTCCCGAGGACTTCGCTTTGCGCTCGAACTGTGGATACTATTGACAACTTTTTGATCGCGTTGTCCGAGCCCCATGAGTATCAACTCCTTGGAAATCTCTCTCATACACAGAGAGTGGAGGAGATCCTACGCCGGTCGAGTATACCTCCTTTCCAGCCGATTCCTTGGAGTTGGCTCCTACCACAATCAAGCCCTACTCTAGATGCGCGGGAAATTGCTGCCGCAATCGAGGCCGAGAGCCATTTCCACTTCCGACAGATTGCCTTCGAAGAGTTTGTACGTGCTGCTCTCGGATATAAGTCTATTTTCGTAGAGTGGTTCCTACAACAGCATGCGGCGCTTTATATTATTCTCCAGGACCATCTGGGCGCCTACCCAGAGGACATTCCTCTATACACAGAAGTGGAGAAGGTACGTTTTCTAAGTTACTTTGCTATAACTATTATTATACACAGCCTAAGCTAACTTCTACAGCATCTTCGGTCACGGAGTCCGTTCGCACACCGAGCGCTAGTTCAGTGCCTACTAGCTGTGCGACGTGGCGGGAATTGTGAGATTTCTAAACCGAACGCCGCTGGGTTTGAATTCATCGCCGGTCCTATTCAGGCCTTATTCAAGGACCAACCAGGAGGGCTTACTGCCATGCTCAAGATTTTGAGCGTTTTGGCAATCCGATTTCGCCGACAGTATATCCATGCTCCTACCATGGATTGGAAAACTCCCTTTGACACGTCTATTCCATTCCTGGATGATTATCTCGAGTCGACATCTCCAACAGATTTGGCTCGCAGCATGAGAGGCCTGGACGAGCACAATTTTGCGGAGTTGACCCAACAAAGCCTGATAGCAGAAGATGCTATCGTGGGAAAATTGCTATTGCAGTGGCGCAAACTAAGTATTTCTATCTGGGAATGTTGCGCTGCACTTCCAGACCTGATTCCATATATGCAGGAGTGTGCACAGGTGAGCATTCTTTACTCTCAAACTCGCCGAGATCCTCTAACCATATAACCATATGAGCAGTCCCTCGTAACAACACGTAATTATCATTCTCTCACGGCCATCATCAAAGGCCTGCACACCTACACCATTTTGACAACACGCCCCAACATCACCGCCCAAGGAAACGCGATTACACTCGAGACCCTGATCCCACAAGAGATGATTTCACTCATGAGCTCGGCTGAGAATTTTGCCGCCTATCGCCAGCACTACCAAAAATTCCCCGGCATTCCCTTCCTGATCGCCCACACCCGCGATCACAAAGAAAACGGTGAATCCGTCCTTCAGCCGGTTTTCCAGTACCTGCAAAGCACCAAATAAAGCCCGCAGAGGTAGTCACCGGATCAGCGGCCTGCTTAGGCTCCTCTCCGGCTTCGGCTCTGGCTCCGGGCAGAGAATAAAAGCAATTTACTGGTGTGTGCTTGGCTTGTGTGGTTGCAGGTGGCCGAGACCGCCTCGCGTGGGCTAAATATTGTTTCAATTGTTTGTCCCGCTGGTCAGCAGCTAATGCATTGATGGTGTGTTTTCCTTGGCAGTTTTACAAGAAGGGGGCGATCTACACCAGATGACGACCTCAAATGCTATATTTTATGATCTGTATTTCTATACTCTGATACCCATGCTAGCATCGGGCAGTACCGGGGAGTCCGGCGTTGCATTATGCTAATATGAATCTATTTTCTTTTTTTTCCCCTGGTGACATTCAAGGTTCTATTTACATTTGCATAAAAGTGGACGATCACAAGGGTAACAAGACCAGCTTATCTCATCCAAAACCCCCAATGCAGTCAAGCAAATACAAGCATGCCAGCAGATCCACCCAGCCGCATCTCACGTCTCCTATCTCCCTCATACGCCGGCCAAGGATCTACGAATCAGATGAAACCCATTCCATCCGAAAAGAGCCTCTTCAGGCAAGAGTAGAGCCAAAGATGAACCGCACAGATATGCAGCAGACCCACACACAAGTAAGGGAGGGAAGCAAAAGGAAGAGGAGGCGGGTGAGCCGAAGACCCCGCCCAAAATTTCTTTGCTTTTTTCCTTGGTATTCAACCAAGAAAAGGACAGAGTGCATATATTGGTCTGGCCAACCAAAGCAGCGGGTCACACCTCACTCGCGTTTTGCAGCCGCCTTAGGCGCCTTCGCATATCCAAAGATGCCCAAGAAATAAGCGATCCTATTGATGAACAGGAACGTCGTGATCCCGATATTACCCCAGGTCAAAGCGTTCCATGCCGCAACGTCTGCAAACGCGTCCCAGCCCATTGCCAAGTACGTGGCGTAGACATGGCCTATGTCGGCAATGGCAAGCCCAATTAGATAGTTGCGTAGTACTCTTGGCTCTGTTGTGGCGTGGCAAACTCCCACGCCGACTAGGAAGAGAAGTGAGTAGACATTGCCGAGTTGGTAGGCGAGCGCGATGCTGCTTGGGTGCAGAATGGCCGGGGCTGCGATGGTGGGTGTTTGCCCGGCGATAAAGCCTTGGAGGTCATATAGGGGAAAGACACTGCCGAGGGCCCTGCATTAAGTAGGGTCAGTGCATGGTTGGGAGAAAGGGTTGAGCTGGTCGTACAGAGAGATAGGCTCAAGGACACCGAAGAGGATGTGTGGCCATGTTGGGAAGATGGTTGGCATTTTGGGGACCTGTGGCGTTCAACGTTATTATTGTTTGTCTCATCTTGATTGTTGTGCTTTGGTCCTGACTGTAATTCGATTGGAGCGGTCTGCATAAACAAACTAGCTTTACTTATGTGGAGAGAAAGACAACTTACGCTTAGTTGCTGATCACGACAAATATCAAGTATGTAATATCAATTGTATGATAACATCCGATCAAATCAATGAGCGGAATTCAAATAGGAGACCTTTCAAAGGAATTGCCAGGGGCTCTCAACACCTGGGCAGAATGCTGGGCAGCTGACGTAGACACCCCCGGGGGCCCGCTTTACTGGCACTCGTCACCGCCCTTATCCGTTATCGTATGGATCTTATCAGAGCTTCATCTTCTGACCCCCAAAGTCATGGACACAATATGTCAGAGACATCCAGGATGATATGTAACCTGTGATAGCTGGCCAAAATGGAATCTGCGAGTGCATTGCGGCCTCTTGATGAATCATTACTCCGCGAACTCCCTCAACTCTCTCTCCGTATCGCCCCTCTACGAGAACCAGTATCATCACGAACCTTAAGCGTCCCATCGCCCCTCGAACCCAATGCCAGTGGGACACGGGACTCGAATAATATCTCCAATTCAAACAGCAATAATGGGAAGATTCCAGCAAATGCAAAGACCGGCCTGCCGACAGTTACGGAATTTCTGAACGCTGCTCGCATCAAGAAAACCGAACCCTCGGCAGACTCGCAGTCAAATGTGGAACGACTCCCCAGGCCGATACTTCCTGCTTTTGTAAATCTTCGTGCCCTGGAAAAGTTTCCATTCTCGTCATCCTTCGACGATGACGCCCTCCAAGGGCCCCGCAAGCGTCGACGCCGAGACCCCCAGGCCGATTCATTCAGCGAGCATCTACAGTTACCTATCCCCCAAGCCCAGAAGGAACATCGGCCTCCTCCATTTGGACCATTTGCTATTCTGAATGGATTGAATGAGCCTCCGCCCAATGCTGCCCTTCTTCCACCCATTGAGGCAGGGTCCGATATCTCCCAGCTTTTGACTAAGCCCTCCGGAAGCGATGCGGGTGCTGACCCCGGGACGTTAGTCTCGCCCCAAGCCGCTGTCCCAGATAACCAGTCTGCGGAAAGACGGGATACTAGGCTCGAAGATATTCTCAGAACGTCTCTCAATGGGGATGAAGACGACGATCCTAATGATAATGATGCAAATGTTGAAAGTACTAACCCTGTGGATTCCGATGAGATTCCCATTGCTGTTCGCGAAGCAGAAATACGGAAGAGCAGTAAGGCGTTGCCAATCCCTCCTAGAGAAGATGTGCCAATGTCTCCTAAAACTCGCGGCCGGTCCCGTAAAAACCTGAGAAAGTGGTCTGAAGAAGAGACGACTACTTTACTCCGGGGCGTGATCAAATGTGGTATTGGCAACTGGACTGCTATTCTTGCGCAACCTGAACTGAAGTTTAATCAACGAACTGCCTCGAATTTGAAAGACAGGTATGCTCGGTTCTTAGTCAACTGTATTGGCTTGTGCTAAAGCTTCGCTATGTTGAAGATTCCGGGTCTTATGTCCATGGGCGTACCGGTAAGCAATCTGAATCTAACCAATACTCTGAAGTCACTCAAATCAAGATAGCTAATATTACTACAGTGCATCCGATCCCAACGAAGCTGCGAAACAACTACACGACACGCTCGCTAACACCCTACTTAAAGCGAAAGCAGAGGGCACCGACGAAACACCTGGCAAACTCCAGCTCTCCCATCTAATGCCCTCTAATCAAGGGCTTGAGCCAAAGTCTGGAGTAGGAAGTCCGGCTCACAATCCACAAAAACCCTCTATCTCGGGTACCGCTTCATCCACGCCCGACGCAAGTCCCGGGAGTAGTATCATTGCCCAATTGCAGTCACCCTCATCAGGAAATAGCACACTCGCTCTCTCAAGCAAGTCTCGCACAACCCTCGCTTCTCTTGGAATCTCCGAACCACACGTCGCAAAATCCAAACGTCGCTCCCGACGACCCTTCACAACGGCCGAAGATGAAGCCCTCCTCAAAGGCTACGCAGTGCACGGCTTCCAATGGACCCTAATCCAGCAAGATCCACGCTTGAACCTCAGCCACCGCAAAGCGACAGACCTCCGCGACCGCTTCAGAACCAAGTTCCCACACGCCTATCGCGACGGCGGTTCTGTGAGCGGTAAAGCCCTTACCAGCCAAAACCAGGGCCAGGAGCTAACTACAGGTGCATCGACCCCACGCCCACATCCGGTCAGCACGGAACAATCTCCTAGCAAGACTTATGCCATAACTCCAACTCCAACTCCGACTACCACTCCCCGCAACTCGGTGTCGAGGAGGAATCACGCTGCTACCCCTTCGCAGTCCAATTTTGCCCAGATTGATCCCGCGCTCTTCCCTCCGCCCCCGCAGGGGTTTTTGGAGCATTCGATGTATCTTCCTCATGCGGCCGCGGGAGTGCTTTCTTTCTCTCTGGATGATGGACCTGGGGTGGGTGCTTCTTCCGCAGTGGAGACTCCATGGGAAGATAATACCCTCGCTCCTATGATTTGGGATGAATTGACATAATCAGGGGCAAGCCTTAGATGCGCTATGTCACCAACGCATGTCATGAATTTTTGAATTTCCTTTTGTGCCTTGATGTTATTTTGTTTTCTTGCCCTCTTCTTTCTTTTTGGTTTGCATTTTTGGTGCTCTATGTCGTCTTTCCTTTCTCTCCGGTCTGTCTTCATTGTTGATCTATATCCCGCAGTACACGATGGTTTTTGCTACAGTTTCTATTCAATAAAAGTTTTCTTTTTGCTGTTTAATGTCATTGACAATCAAATTCCCACTATAAAGAAAGAGATGCAATAGGTCTGATCTTCTCACTGTGCATAAAGATAGTACCACGGAATAAGACCGATGAAAAAAGTAACGAAGAAGAAAAGTTAGGAAAACACGCCTGCCCAATTAAGATAACAAATAAAATCTGTACTTGTTTGTATATCTGCATCTGGTTGGGAAATAAGAAACAGTGAATTCGGATATCAAACGAGCATAAAAAACCAAGCGATGACCGTCACATAGCATACTGCGGGTACCCATTTTCAATCGCGAAAGATGTCTGCTGTGGAAAATATATGAGAGGAGGGAGCAGGAGGAGAAAGAGGATCAGGATGAAGGTGAAAAAGAAAGTCCGAAGAGGCCCAATGCAAGACCTCATCCCATCCTGAGAAATGAGGTCTGCTTCTCGTTAATGAATTAATAGTCAAGGCACTAGTCATCTACCACGCATTGCGGTCCCAGTTAGGATCTGCAGAATGATCATTAGTACACATTCAACAGGACATATTCGTTTAATCTACTAGAATAAACCCACCTTGTATGTAGCTGGCAAGCACCTTACTCCCTGTCTGCAGAAGAGGGTGTCCAGCAACGATCTGGAGGAAGCGCTGTAGACCCTCACGACGATGCTCGATGACGTCGTCGCTGAATCGGTTGGTGAAAACCTTCCCGGGGAGAGGGGGTATCGTGACGCGCGTGCTCTCGCGCTCCAGGATATCACGGAAATACTCGAAATCGGAGTATCGACGGCGCACGACTGAGTGTTTCAATTTGAAGGCGGGGATGTTGGTCCGGCACACAATCTCGTACGACGTGTACATGTTGCGAGATGTGCCATGGGTTTGGGGATTGCGGACCTATTGCAGCCGTTGTTAGTCTGGGGTGTTCGGTCTTGATGCTGGATGGGAGGTGGTGATGATGTGGGTTTTGGTGGGGATGTATGGAGGCTGATTAGGGAGAGAGATGGGCACGAGACTCTGGGGTATTGGGGTAGGTTGTTGATTTGGGGACATATATTAGGCATTGTGCATCATGTAACTCACTTCTATCTCGAGGAAGTTCTCGGGAGGTCCATAGATCTCCTCGAATGACTGCTGTCGCGATTCTGGGACCGACTGCATTGTGGTGGGGTTGGGATGAGGCGGAGGGGAAGTCGAGGGGAAGACGAGCGAGATTTTATATTGTAAATGCTCAGATGGTGAGTTGAGTGTAGGGTATACAATTAGACAGCTTGTCTCACTCTAATTACCTGGAACTGAACACTACAGAGCAGATCCTAAGGTACCCGGGCTCGGAAGTTGGAGAAGCATCTCTATCAGTGGGGACCGGGGAAATAATTGATCCGCCCTTTTGGCTTATCTTCCTGACAGCTCGAATGTCATATGAACTATACTTCATGTAACAACTTTATCTGGACATGCTTAAACAGAAAAGCAACAAAAAAAAAAAAAAAAAGCAAAGAGCGTATAAGGGACGACCACTTTTGTGTTATCTAGTTCAAAATATACACACTGAACGACCTCCCCAATACTACCAACACTCCCTACATATGTACTTAGCCATGACCAAGTTAACACAATGTTCCAACTCAAACTTACAAACTGCAACACCGAGCTTGCATGCCCCTCCTGTGGAACTATACTGAGGCAGTCTTACTACCTAAGGCGGGCAGGATCTCTGCTTCTCACCAGGATTGACACCCCTTCTCCCTTTCTCTGGCTGAACAGCTCAATTCAATCCATCGGGTTCTTTCCCATTTCCATTCTCTACAGACTGCCAGCTGAACTAGGTATGTGGAAGGAGAAATAGGTCGTATAAATTTCAATAGTGGCAAGTTAGATATATAGTCAACGACATAATCTTAGAAAGATATAGTCGCATTGCCCAGCCATCAAAGCAGTCCTCTAAACAAAAACATGCCATGGAAGAATATAGGATTAGTTGCAATATCTACTTTGATAAGGGCAACGATGAGGGCATGGTGGATGTTGTTTGCAATATATCTATCTGCAGGGAGTTTATCTCCAAGATGACACCATTCTAGATACTATAACCAAGACCCGGTGTGATAATTGAGTTGCAAGAATTAACAGTACATAACTATATAATTCGAGCAGTATTCAGATATTAGGACGGAGCTTCGATTTATTGTAATGGAGATGTCTGAACCAAAGGTTTGTATAAAAAACATTGAAAGATTTGGCATGGTTTTCACTCCCCAGCATAGGTATGATTCCTGCATAACATGCATATGCAAAAGCCAGAGATGCATTTACCACAGGGTTCTACTACTTCCCTGCATATAATGTACTCATCCTAGTTCTTGAACGGTAAATGAGTGCTGTACTTGTGGGAAATGAAGCGATCCAATCACACCAAAGCCCCAGGGTTGGAGTGGGTAACACCAAGCGGGTGATACACTGAAGGCAAATATATAAACGCAAAGCTTACTCCAGGAGGTGTAATATCTAAAGAAGTCAATGCTTTGGCTTTTATATTCTGAATACTCGTATTCCAGACATTGGTCGGTGTGCGGACGATATATACTTATGACAATGTGGAGGTCTTTGTGAGAAACGACCCTTCGCATTGGAGAGTAAATCGCTTTTACATATAGAGGCAGTGCTTGAAGAACTCAACGATATTTCATCAATTGAGTCCACATCGGAGATAGGCCGGCCTCGGAGTTAAGAATGACATAACCCAAATGCGCCCGTGACCGACTTATCAATCGACTATGTAACTATCGATAAGCACCGTATCTCCCCATCTCACCACCACAGTAATACAACATACACCATGAGTTCAAGGGCGCCGGATAATGGTAGAGAATCCCCAAGAGACTCAGAAGGGACCTGGCACCCTGCCCGTGAATGGCTTGAAGAGGATGAGCTTGATACCGAATACCACCCCGCGTTAGAGTCGTCCGAGCACGATGGCGCATGGGAGGGTAACATATCCGATGAAGATCGGCAAATGGGCTCGGGAATTGCAAGTGGTGGGACTGAATTCCAAGCCATCAAAACAGTATGACAGTATGCAAATGGACTGACTGTTTCTTTGTGGTAGATAATACCCACATCAACATCGGAAACATTCAAATCGAACTTACGGCGGATGATTCGGAGAGCGAGGACACGGACGATCTGAATGAAGGACGGACCCGTGGTACGTTGTGCTAGAAACACTCGAAGGATATCAGTACAATTGCTCACAAATTCCAGTACCAGCTTCCCGATTATTCGAGCTGCTCGCATCCAGTGGTTTACAACATATCCTCCAAGCAAACGGTTGGCCGACGGCAATCGAAGAAGAGCAGGAGCAGCTGGAAAATGAAGAGGATGGGCCGAGCGACGAAGATTTCATGCCCATATTCCGAAATCGCCTCCGAGCCGGATGGTTCCCAGAAAGCGCTGAACTTCCACCGGTTCCTAACCCGGAGGGCAAGAAATTGATGGGCGAAGGTCTTTTCGGGACTGATCAATTCTACGGCGACCGGCTCAGACAGCGCAAGAAACATCTAGCGACAAGCCTGATGTGGCGAGAACTAGGCATTGACACCGATGGAGTGCGGAAAAGAGCCGGCCAATCTATCTCTCAGGTAGGCCAAGTGTATAACCGGCACACGGAGATTATGATAGCGAGTAGGACTAACGCATACTTTTGGCGCCGACTAGGGCCTCATTCCAAGCTCGGTTGCGGACAAGATTATTCACTATGACACGAGAAGTTATTCAGGCCAGTTCTCAGATGACGGGAATTTCTTTTTCTGCTGTGCACAAGACTTCAAGGTTCGAATGTACGACACCTCCAACCCGTATGATTGGAAATATTACAAAACCGTCGATTATCCCTTCGGTCAGTGGACTATCACCGATGCGACGTTGAGCCCCGACAACCGCTTCCTTGTCTACAGTTCAATACGAAGTCAAGCATACATGGCCACCACAGACCCAGAGGACGATTCAGATCCTATGGTTTTAGACTTATCTACTCCACCGGGCCAAAGAAGAAGACGGAGCTGGGGTGGTTCGCACTTCGGGGTATGTGAAGTGACACTTTTATTTGATATTTCAATGGTTAACCTGGTCCACTTTTAATAGATCTGGTCTCTTCGTTTCTCTGGAGATGGACGTGAGGTTGTCGCCGGCACTTCAGAAGATTCGGTCATCGTTTATGATCTGGAAACACGACAACCAGTCCTAAACCTACGAGATCGGCATCAGCATCATGTCAATGCTGTGTGTTACGGCGATACATCTTCGCCGCACATCCTGTACTCTGGATCCGATGACACGACAATTCGGGTCTGGGACCGACGGTCAATGGGCGATGGGCGTGAAGCTGGTGCTTTTATGGGCCACACCGAGGGACTGACGTACGTTGACAGCAAAGGCGACGGCCGGTATGTCTTATCCAATAGCAAAGACCAAACGATGAAGCTTTGGGATTTGCGAAAGATGATGACATCCGCCGATGTCGAAAACATCGACCCCGTCGACTATACAACCGGCTTCGATTACCGCTTCGAGAAGTATCCAGACCAGTACCGCAGAAATGCCAAGAATGACTGCTCTGTTGTTACATATCGAGGCCACCGAGTCCTCAAAACCTTGATTCGCTGCCACTTCTCGCCCCCAGGGAGTACAAACTCGCGCTATGTTTACAGTGGAAGTGAGGACGGCAAGGTTTATGTATACAACTTGGACGCCACTATAGCTGGCACCATCGACGTTGGCCAAGCGACACTTAACTCCCGTCCTCGTGATCCAGATGCCTATGCTACAGCATATGAAATGAGCGGGGAGATGCTGTGGAGAACTTGCGTTCGCGATGCAAGCTGGCACCCAAGTGCGCCGGTACTAGCAGGTAGGAACTTTACCACGAAACGTTTGTTTCAGTCCTCATAGCTAACCCTATGTTTAGCAACTTCCTGGAATGGCTGGGGCTTGTCTACTGGCACTTGTACTGTGCATTCATGGAACGCGGGTGCTAATAAAGACGAGGGAGATCCACCGGTCGGCAAAAGCTATGATGACAAACTACGATACATCCCCGAGTTCGACCATTACCGTGAAAATGCACCTCATGTTCGACCTCGGCGTCCATTGCGCAGTCGGCCAGTTCGTCGATGGGTTGGTGATGAAGAGGCAGAGGACACAATATGGTAGGCGAGGGATGATTATTCTTTTGAGTCCAACGAAAAGCATTTACAGTTGGCTTTTGATTCTGCATATCCTGGACATCTTTACAATGTATCTTAACACAGCCTTGGAATACATACTGCATGCTGGTCAATTTTTTTGGGACGAATGCAATCATTGCGTCCGGTCCATTGATCCCGGGCTGTTCAGAAGCTCAATATCAAGGAATTTTGGACGGGAACGAATGCTTGAAGGGTGTGAATTAAGTAAAACAAGGACCCCTATTGATACAGGATGCGAAAAAAGGTGGTATCTCATGGATAGCGATCAAGCTCTGCCTCCTACCGCTGGCCAAAACAAAAGCGCCAAGTGGCTGACAGGATCGCCACGGAAATTCAAAACATAAAAAGGAAAAGTGGTTGCAATGGAGTCACGCTCGGAGTCCAGGGAGCCGGGGGAGTCCCACAGGGTATGTCAGGCTGGATAGGCGATATGATGGAGCGGTGTCATTCAATGGGTTTGCCTGCCACCACCTGGATAGAATGAATTGCGCGATAACACGTCTTATCGATCTCCATCTCCTGCCCTCTGAAGAGTTTCCCACAATCAAATCTCCCTTTCCACCATTCCCAACCTGTCAAATGGATCTGACCATCTCCCAGGTGTGCCTCTCCCTTAGGCGCCACCGACCAGCACTTGGTTGACGGGGATGTGAACTGACACCAGCCGGTTAGTACATCTATGCATAAAATCTGCATTTGTGGACCGCATTCTGGAACACATACTCAGCTTGACGAAGTAACCAATGGCTCCCTATTGGCGATGTCAGTATTCCGCCTTGAACTCCGATCCAGGGATTGCCACAACGGCAGTGATACATACCATAACAAGGAACCCCATGCCAACGGCCTGGCTGATTTTGATAAATTCACGCTTGTCGGCTATTACAAGGTCAGCGTGTCATGAACTCGGGGAAATGACTGCCGATCCAACATACGCTTGGTGCAGCGGCGAACAAATTGCGAACCCTCCCGGATGAAGTCCTTAGGGATATCAGCAAGCTCTTGGAAAGTTTCCGACATGATTCCGAAAATGAAGAATTATGAAAAGATTAAGAAGAGCTTGAAGGGGATGAAGTCGCGACAATTGGAGAAGAACAGGTGGTTTCTCCCGAAATGACCAATTGGCCTCTATGGGCCGGGCAAAACTGGAAAATATTTGTTCCAGCTCCAAGGTCTGGCCCGCCTTGTTCGCCGTTCGCCTCGGCGCGCGATTACATCGCCATCGCCATCGATTATATCGTCGCTCACATCATCCCCAACTATACTATCGTCGTCGGAAGATCGTTGGTGAACTCAAGGAAACTCTGCCCCAGTGTGACAAACCGGCGGGCATTCATATTCCCCCAAACCGCTACTTTTCCCCTGTTCCTGCTCCCACTCCTGTTTTAACTCATTCCCCATACTCAATCGCTTTTTTGCTGCCTGTCTGTGGCAGCTACTCTTCTCTTTTCTATCTTCTACTGTATCCCAACATTCGCGGTCCAACTCTGCTTCCATTCTCTGTACACCGCGTCTGCACCTCGCGCAAGTCTTGTTTCTACCGGAAGCGCTTCGCTTCGGATTGTACGTATTCACTTGTTTTCATGCCATTCAGCTTTATGTTGCCCTTCGGGGGAATGGCCGCCGTCCGCTTTACCTGTGAGGACTCAGTCCGACGGGCTGTTGGGAACCATTACGGGAATCGACCTACCCCTACACATTCGGCTTTTTTTTTTTACTTTCGTGATGTTATTCTCAATGCTAATTGGTGGCTTATGCCTACAGACATGCACTTTTCTTGATTTTCTCAGAAGCGGAACGGATCAAGAAGAAGAAGGGCCTGTATTATCGAACTTCAGATACTCAGGCAATTTCAATCATTTCTTTGAGGTCCAATCCCTTGAAATCGATACTAATTTAGTTCGCAATGGCTACCGACGACGATAACTTCGATATTGACATCTATGGTGATGGCGCTTACAGTCCTAATGATGCCGGAGGTTTCAAGAAGGATGATTCTGAGCTCGTTCTGGATGCTCCCGAGAATCAGCCCGAGTCCAACACCGATACCGTCAAGCATGGGAACGCTTCTGCCACTCAGACCCAGCAGGTGAACAACAATGCAGCTCCATCGGCCCCTCAGCAGCAAGCCCCTCAGCAACAGGCCCCTCAGCAACAGGCCCCTCAGCAACAGGCCCCTCAGCAGCAGACTCTCCACCATGGTCTGCCTGCACCCCCTCATGGAGTCAAGCGAAAGGAGTACGAGGACCAGTCCGTCGATCCAGATGCTACAACTGCGTTGTTGATCTCCGAGCTATCCTGGTGGACTACCGATGATGATATCCGAGGCTGGGTGAACCAAGCCGGAGTCGAGAACCAGCTTAAGGAGGTCACCTTCAGCGAGCATAAAGTGAACGGCAAGAGCAAGGGGTAAGCAAATTATATACCCGGTCGCAAACAAAAACAATTCCAAGTATTGATACTAATCTTTAAAAACCCTTAGTCAAGCGTTTGTTGAGTTCAGTACCGCGCAGGCAGCGACCGCGACTAAGCACAACATCGAGAGAAACAGCGGCCCCGCGCGTAAGCACACTGCGATCTACACCAGCCCCCACCAAAACCCATTTAAGACTCTGCCCAAGGATACCCCGACGCGCAATGCTAGTGGCACCGGCCGCGGCGGTGGTGGTCCCCACAACACCGGTGGCAACCCCAACTACGGCAACCACACCGGTAGCGGATTCCGCGGCCGAGGCGGCTTCAACAATCGCGGCATGGGTGGTAACATGAACAACTTTAACAACCGCAACAACTTCAATCCCATGGGTGGATACCAAGGTGGCATGTCTACTCCCATGATGGGTGGCTTCCCGGGTGCCCCTATGGGCGGAATGCAGAACTACGGATTCAACAACAACCGCGGCAACATGATGGGCGGTATGCGCGGCGCTGCTGGTATGCGCGGTGGCGGTCGTGGTGCAAACACCATGGGTGGTGGTCCGAACATGATGGGTATGCCTGCTATGACTCCCCCATGGGTGGCATGGGCATGAACCCGATGGCTGGTATGAACCCCATGATGGGCGTTGGCATGGGTGGTGGTATGGGAGGCAACATGCCGATGCAAGGTAAGCGATTCTGACATACATACTGATCTTCCTTTCGGTTCCGCGATCCTGACTATCTTCTAGGTCAACAAGGTTTCCAGCCCCCAAACCCCGGATTCAATAATCAGGGCTACTACAACCCTACCAACCCCACCAACCCCAACACTCAGCCTGGCGGCGCCGACGCAGGTTCCTGGAACCCCCACGGTGCGAAGCGCAGCCGCCAAGATTAAGAAAATCACACGCGGCTCGGTTGGCTCTGGTGGTGTTTTCCCAGAGCTTCCCGCAACTGACCACTGTGGTCTTTGGTGCACGAAATTTCTTCAGATCGACGAGGGTGTTTTTTTTTTTTCCATCTTCTTTTTATGGTTGCTCTTTTCATGCTCAGGGGGAATTATCAGGGGAATTATCGGAATGAAATGGCTGCAGAGAAATCCCGAACCAGCGAAGCGAGGTTGTTTTCAGATCATCGTTACTAGTTCTGGTCCTGCTTAATTTTTCGCTTTTTTTTTTTTTTTTTTTTTTTTCTAAGGTGTATTAGGATATCTCTTCTTTTTTTCCATTTTCCATTTTCCATTTTCTAGGTAGTTATGGAGTACAGAGTACATGTATGTCAGATATGATATTCTCACACCCAACTGTTACTCGGGAAGTGATATATGAACGATTAATATGTCTACAGGTAGCTAGCACATCTAGTTACTCGAGCTACATGCAAGGCTATGTAATGCAATATAGCCCCCCCCTGCGTCAAATACGCATTTAAGCTGATATCTCCTACCAAATAGGAGCAGGGTACATCCCAGCTTGTGTAGAGAGCTCTCTTTTATATTGCCTGCCCAAGGCAGACTATAGTATATTCATGTAGTACAGACACCTGATAGGGGCAGTTTAAGAAGGCAAGCACTAGGTACCTAAACCCATAGTGGTGTACGGGCGACTATAGGGATCACCGTCACATAACTCTCTCATTGCTTTATATTGCTAGGCAGTAACTAGTTAGTTATGTAGTTAGTAGTAATATTGAACCTAGACGATGCCTTATAATGCCTTAGAAAAGATATATAAAGAGACATCTAGAAAGACAACTAGAAAGACCCTAAGAAGAACATCCAAAAAAGAAGATCTAGTAAGATGTCAGTGTATGTTACTTCAAGAAGGTGGTGATAAAATAGGCCGTAAGGCACTAGCTAATGAAAGAGTTATGTGACGGTGATCCCTATAGTAGCCCGTAGTGGTGGTTGTCTAGAACCGAGACTAGGAAGAGCTTCATAACGCGTAAATCATACTTTTATTCCTAGTCCAATCTTGTAATTCGTGAAATGTCATGTAAGTAGTATGCCCCCAAAACGCATGATAGCATGATGTATCTCCTTCAAGTTAGATGCCCAATCGCTCAGTATGCAGACTTGTACAGGAGGGTTTTATGTAAAATAAGGCGCCATAATTCAACATTGGAGGAAGAAAAAAAAAGTCAATATGAAAGAAATCGGGTAAAACATTAGGGGTATCAAGCATAAGGGTAGATAGAAGATTATGAACGGGGTATGAGTAGGTGTGGTAAGGTGCTGCTTAGAAACAGAATGAACCCATTGCGACCCATCAACAACCAAGAAATCTTGAAATTGTACACAATATACATAGAAATCAAGTCTAGTATATGTCGAGGATCAGAAAGGAGTAGTTTCTGACACATGTCGGCGTCTATGCCGCTGGTCCACTGGGCTAGTTTTGTTAGAGCCGACTTGACGTCAAAGCTGAATTCCCAGTCTTGCACGTCCTCGGTCCAGTAGAGGAGCGGCGTAAGTTCAGAACCGGAAGGCGAGGTGGGAGTGAGCTCTTGGTCTAAATTGGTGGCGGGCTCGGCATCGTCGTCGGAGGGGGTTTCAGAGGTGATAGAATGGTTCCTCTGCTTCTTGGTGTTTGCCTTTGCTGCCGATGCGCGAAGACTAAAAATCTTCACGAAGACTCGCACTCGCGTACGGAGGGGGTGATTTGACTCACGCGCCGGGGACATCTTGAAGGTCATCTCGACTCTTTCGTTGTCTGATAATTTGAGGCTTGCGTGGGCTTTGTAGTCGACAGTTGGGATGGTCACGCATGGGCATTGGCAAGTAGATATTGGTTTGGGGGAGTCTAGATTGGGTGAAGACCCCTTGTCTCTGAAAACAAGGTCTGTGTATGAGCCTGGTGCCGGACCACCAGAGGCTTTCGGTTTCGGTTGTATCGTTTGTCTTTTGACGGAGAGCGGGTCAATGGATGTGCTGAGTCCAACGCTGCGAAGTATCTTGATATCACGTTCGAAGATAACCGACTCTTGCATTTTGTCGTCGAACTCACTCAGTGGTGGGTGGCTTCCAACATCCATTGCCGACCTAATGACATAATCGTATGGGGGTGGATCATCCATGAACGTGTTGGTCAGATTTTCAAATGGTCGTGGATCGAATAAATGCACCATTTCGTTGGGGTTGTAGTAAGGCAGTTGAGTAGGCATATTCTGAGGCATTACAAAGTTTGCCGATGGCCCAGGGTTGAAGTAAGACTCGTTCAAATCGATGATGGTAGAAGATGAATCCGAGAGAGCCTGTACAGGCACTCTCGAGGAAGGCCCAGCTTGGATAGCACTCCTGGGCGTGTCACCACATCTGTGGCAACTACGAACAGATTTACACTTTGGACATTCGGCCATGTCATGATCACATCTTCTGCATTTGTTCGGACTAGGGGCCTGCTCTTCTGTTGGTGCTTTCTGTTTGTCCGAGCGCTTACGCTTGGTCGAATGGTCGGCTTGTGACGATCTGGGGTTCTGTGGTGGCTGTATATTTTTGGGCTGCCCGCTAGCTCTGGGGAGATGAGACCTAGGCCTACGAGATGAGCCAAGCGAGTTGTCGATTGAACTTTGTTCAATGGCATCAGTGGCACTTTGACGACGGTTGCTGTTGGGCTGTTCGTCGGAAACTGAGTGTGGCATAGAATCAGGATGCGCATTACTCCTGCTCATGAACCCTCCGAAGCTCGCACCGGAATAAGATGGACCCCCAGTTCTGTTATTTGTTCTGCTATACTGCGATTCTCCGTGCCAATTGCTGGGACCGGCTGAAGACGGGCCATGGCCGTGACCATTACCGTTTCCGCCACCATTGTCGCCATGGTGAGACCGGTCGCTGCTAGCAGAGACATTGGCCGAATGAGGGGAAATGATACAGTGGGTCTTGATGTGCTCGTAATAGACAGACCAAGAAGACGTCTCCTCGGAGCAAAAGGGACAGTTGGCTGGAGGGGCATATCTCACCCGAGTTGCTTCCACATCAGCCGGGAGCAGACCGGATCTATTGTGTTTGCGAAGAAGATGGTCATGCATCCTATCTCGCCGGTGGAGGACCGTGCGGCAGCGCGGTTCAGTACAACGCCACTCGCAGTCGAGTATACCATGCCCAGTCAAATGTCTCTTGAATGTACCAAAAGTTGGAAACGTTGTTCTCTCCCTCCTAGGATCACATTGCCAACATCGAAACATTTTTTTGCCCCGTCGGGAAGACTCGCTTAATGAAACGGGAGGCGCGGGAATCTTTGTGCGAAGGAATATCATCATCGCTTCAAGGGTCTGCACCACTTGTGAGATTTGATCGTGACCACATGGCTGGTTATATGTGACAGCCCACCAGGTGTTGAAGGCTTGGTTTATGGCACCTTCCGAAGGTTGCAAAGACAACGGTGTGGAATTTGGTATTCCCATCGCAGTTCGATCCAACACTCCCGGGGGATGAGCAGTGCCCTCACACCTTATATCTTCCGCTGGTCGTTGAGTGATAATCGAACTGCCTAGATCATCTGCTAGGTCTTGAGGGATATTTTCATCCGTCTCGTACCATCTCAGATCCATACCATCCAGATCATTTTCATATTGCTGTGGAGGTTCTGGCATTTGGTTAATGGACTCGCCATTGAACCATTCGGAATCATATGGAAAGGCCTCCGAACTCGTAAGGCTCGTCACGTCGGCAGAGGAATGTGTTGCTGTATGATAATATGCATAATAATCCTGCTTAAGCGTCAGTACCTTGGAGCTGCAATCACTGGATGAACACCCACTTCAGATGAGGTAAAAGAGCTAGGAGGCACAGGCCACCCTATTGTCTCATCGACCTCTTCGTTATTGAAAGTGGAATCCATAGTAATGAACAGGTCTTGAGAAGGTAACAATGTCAGAGCATATAGAATAGCTCTTGACGTGAGTAAGCAGGTCTCTTTCCGATGTTGGGGAGGTAAATGTAAATAAAGTCAGAGCAAAGAGAATGGTGTTTTGGGCCTGAGTAAAAAAAAGGATGTTTAATCGGTGAGAAGAGGAGAGACCATTGTCTACTTAAATATATTGGACCCCCTCCGCCTCCCCCTCCCCCATTGCCTGATTGCCTGGGTGAAAATGGAAAAATGAAATCCAAAAAACATCGAAATAAAAACCAAATGGGGAAGACCCGGGGGGGTCTGAGAGGGGACGGGGTTAAGGGAGATTTCGGGTCGACACGATCTCTCAGTCTCCGCCCAAGAACCCTATTCTTCGTTCTTGGGGAAGAACGTGAGAGGAAGATTCCAATACGCCGGACTCCGTACAATACAGTAATTTGGCCCAAGCGAAAACGACTACCAGTGAGGCGGCCACATTGCTTCGTGTCCCGGATGCGAACTGGGTAGCGAAAAAGAACAAGGCAACGAATCGGTAAAATTTCACCTTACAATTCAAAGCCGTTGGTGTAAAACTGTGAATGTTTAGGCCTATAAGGCCGCATCTTTATCCTAACTCGCTAAAAACAAAAGAAATGTAACCTTTGCAGTATATTTGTTGTTACAACTCTGGCAATTTTACATGGACATGGGGAAGGGAGGCGGTGCACCTAAAGTGGTAACTAAATAACTAACTAGGAAGTACTTGTACATAACTAGGGGGCTTTATCATGTCATTAGCAGCCGCACATGTGGCTTTGGTTAGCGCAGATCATAGCAAATCTACGTATTTCTACAGAGTGTGGAGTGAAATGAATTTCGGAGAAGACCGTGACGTAGGTCTCGACTACGATTGCTCAATCATAGTTAAGCCAATCATGTAGTGGATGGAATGAATAAGACGAAAAAAACTGCCAAGGCAAACGAAATTCAATGGGATTGAGATAATCATTGTCAAGACCGCGGTATAACTGAAGAGAACAAAACAAAAGAATGAGTAAGAACTGAAAATACTATTAACTATGTAGAGGCAATACTGATTTTGTTGTATGCAGGCAGATCAACCCCAGTCATCCATTGGCCAACAATAAACGGCAATTGGGATTATGAAACGCAGACGAAATCAAAATCCCCAAATAAACCTTAGCTTTACTCGGTATTGGTTTCTCGGAGTTAAATGAAAAATCGGAATATCTCCAGCCAAACGGTTCATGTCTCCGGGGGTATCGATTCGGCCTCGAGAAGCTCGGATGCTTGGATTCCTTGTCCTTAGAAGACATAAACTAACTATGTGTAATGCAAAAGGAGGGTTGAAAGTGATATTCGAGAAAACATATAGCAGAAATCATCCACAAATCATATCCGAATCCAAAGGACCATGGCATCTCCGTATAACAGAGGTATCATTGCAATCCTATGGATCCTATGACGCACGACCTCATGTATTGCCGCGACAGCCACTAACTAAGGGACATGTCCGGGTGGACACATGACGCTCATTGTTTTAGACCTTCCGGGCAAGCTTTCTATTATTTTGTTGGCAGAGCAAGAACGGGGAAGGTAGTAGGGGCGCGAGACATATTGAATGAAAATAATGGAATCCAACAATCAACACCCCTCCAAGTGAAGCACGACTCTCAAGGTTTGTCCGGTTTGTCATGGCGAATGAGATTAGAAAGCTCATGAACAGGTGATTTTAAAAGCAACCAGTTAGTTAGTTAGTTAACTATGGGACCTGCATAATCAGAAATTACCGTTCAAGGGGGTTCGGGATAAAATAACCACCTCCTCTTCACATATGTCAATGGCTAGAATGTAACAGTGTTTTAGTTAAGGTGGTGCTTAGACTTCTATTACTATCTCCAACGGCACGTTTGAACTCCTTTTGTTCCTAACCAATCAACTCTGCTCGGATGACAATCATCCTGGATGGTACTTCTGTCTTTTGCCCAGAAGTCCTATGATACCTGGGCAACTTGTGGTGATCCTCGCCACTGAAAATCCTCGCTTTGGCCCTTTACCAGACGTTTATTTTTATCGTTGGTTATTTAAAGGTTGTCTCAAGAATTCTAATATTAAAATGGGGCCGCGAAGAAGGGGTGATACTTATTATTTGGATACGAACATTTATGAACATAAATCTGGATGGAGCGGGAGAAAGAAAAGAGAGAGAGAGAGAGAGAGAGAGAGAGAGAGAAATGGTATTGATTGTACAACATCCATGGATACCTAGGCAGTCTCCGTCCCCATAGAGTTACTGATTGTTTGGATCGGGCGGGGAACGGGATAAACCGACAGCCTCAATCTACGTTTGTACCACGGATCATCCAAAGTTTGAATGCAAGGTTGGACGACACTTTCGGTTGAGGGAAATCTTGACCAAGGTGAGATACACCTCCTGCAGGTTGCTTGGTATAACATAAATGGTACCTACGTAACTGTAACAAATTGTGCCATACGTCATGTATTGCCCGACTGTAATCTCCTTGTCTAGATCTAGGAAAGAGAATAAAGAATAAAAAAGAACCCAAATCTAAATATCATTTATCTATGCCCATGCTACTCATAAATTCAGCCCTGTGCCTGCAAAAAAGAAAGAAAGAAAGAAATACAAACGAAGAAAGAATCAAATACAAATGATCAGCAAGACAGTCCTAGTGCCCCATTCCCCAAGCCGTTAGTCAATCTACCCAAGTCTTTCCCTTCTAATAAGTAGCGCCCCAAACCAGAAAGATGAAACAAAGCCCCGATCTAGTTTACCACCAAACTCGTCCGGAAACCGTAGTACAACAATTTGATACAAATACCAGTTTCAACGAATTGAGATAACCAAAGTCTAACGTTGGGGGAAATAGGCGGCTTTGGTCGATGACCATGGATCCGACGAGCTGGGGGCATTCATCCACGCCTTCAACATAGATGAGGAACCCTTCTGTGACTCGGAATTGGAGGCGAGTAAAGAAATCTGCGAGGCATCATTGTGGCCGTGGGGAGTAGTGCCTTGGGTAGTGGGACCGGAGGTTTTGGTTGTGAGGAAGTCAGACGACGAATTTCTGAGAAAAAGTCAAGGTTAGCAGATAAAACAAAAATGACAAGCAATTAGATTCTTGAATAGTATCAATGATAACTGTGAAAATTGGGAAAATTGGAGTGCGGGTATTGACGGTATATGCTACCTATCAGCTAGCCAGCTTACTTGTTGGAACTCATGTTGACGGTTAATGGCGGAAATTGTTTTGAAAGCGGCGGTGAACTCGACTTTGAGGGAAGGAGGAATAAAGTAGACTGATAGGACTAGCAGCTAAGGAAGCTCAATGGTGATGCAAGAGAGAATAGTTTAATGATTCACGGTGTAGATTCCCGGGAAGTAGACAAGGTGGGAGCTGTGAGCTTGAAGAGTGTGAATTTGAGGACTCTTCGGCAAAGGAGAAAGCATCTCTTATAAGCCAAGATGGATTCAGGTTTGATCATATCGCTGCCTGCGAAGGGGAACCTGAACCTGGGTGTAAACCCTGGGCTTAGGAGGTTTGGGTGTGAGGCAGAGCAGCGGCAGTGACGATGGCGTTCAAAATGAATACTTTGGGAGATCTACGATTGGATTGCTATTTCCTATATGGAGACATACTTGAGGACATTGTTCGAAATCGGCATAACTAGTTGTAACTTGTGACCAGCCTGCTTAGAAGCTAACACGGCTTCTTTCTCTCTCTCTCCTGTTCCTAAAAGCAGAAATAGAAAAGGTTGGAAGTCACATAGAGAAACAATTCTTACATAAATTCAGGAAATAATAGCTCGCTTGACCATTCCAATCTGCCCTGGGCATCGGGCAAAAGTCATCTGTCTACGGGGTATATAGCAACTAGACCGCTAGGTTTATGATTGTGCCCTACCGATCTTCACTACCCGGGCTCCATGTCTGCACCTGCAGGCGTGACAGATGAGTTTCATGCGTTTCGGCAGTGGCTTTTGAATCACAATTTAATTCAAGAAACATACAATTCAAACATAGGTCTTCTAAAATCTTCACCATCAGCCAAAACATGGATCCTGTTTCGCGCTATACCTACTCCGTACATCTTATTTTATTTAAGGCTAGATTTCGGCACGTACTGTGATTTATAGAGTTCAGTTCTGGAGTAGTGTGGCTGTGCTTGGTAATTTAATCTACGGATGATTCGAGATGTTTTGTTTATGCAATTCTGTACGGTGTATGTTGCGCACCCATCCTTACACAGACACCCAAATTTTACCTTAAATTTGCATTTACCACTGTACTCCAAAATAATTCACAACTCCCCCTATGGGTGCTTAATAGCGTGTGTAGAAAGTGGCGGTGTAGGGGTATTCACACCCGAGCAATTCTATCACATCATTTTTAATAAAATCTATCATAGTTCGAGAACCTAGACACTGACGCATTCCACCAGAAAGGGAATATCAAGTATGCGATCAGTCGATCTGCGAACCCGTGAGAGTAGTTTGCCACCGCTTATGTTAAAGATGGTTCGAGTCTAGGCTGTGCGAGACAGACTTCATGGAATGCATGGAATGCGGATCGCGGAGAATTTACCCTATGAAAAGAGAGACCCGCGTTCGAGAAGCATCCCTTACTATTCCAGTATTGCTTTGAATATGACTGTTCATATCACATATCCCTAGGAACAAGACATCGGGGGCGGAGTATATGTTACTCGTAGAACATTGCTCAGAGCCTGGGCTCCCAAGGTAAGAGCCCGGGTCCTAAGGAGTCCCAGGTATTTTCTTGTATTCTAGGAAATCAAAAGGTCTAGACCTTGTCTGCAATATTGAGATTATGGATGCACGATCAAAGCCACGAAGATCTTTGAATCTAGATAAGAGACCACGATCTAGGATGATCTACATCATAGATACTATACAATAACAAAATATGTGATACATAATATTATTCTCTTCACTTTACGCCCCTCTTTACGTCATGCAAGGTCCGAAACACAACGAGGTGTTCGCCAATTCGAGTATCGCACCTAAACTCCTGGAACCGTTCCGGGTTGGGTACATTATACGATTCTGGAAATCGGGCACAAAATAATCTTAGAGGTATCCATTCCCATACCTCTTCATACGCTCGCCCTAGGTGCGCCCGTAATGTAAGGACATAAACCAAGCCAATCACCAATCAAGGATGTACAACCGGGCGCTTCGATCAGAAGATAGAGAGAGAGTGATACAAGGGTGTAAAGTACTTACCATAAGTTCAAAGTGACCGATGGACAGAATCTAAGTCGAATGTAGATTTTCTTCACCAGTTCACCAGACAGGGGCAAGATATAATCTAACGTCTAGTCTAGAACTGGCTAGAGGCAGACCAACCAGAGCTGAAGGCAGGGGTGTAATACGAGAATCCTCCTCCCACTTGCAAAATGTCGGTCTGAGACTCTTTAGTGTTTTTCGATCGGATACCTCGCCTACGCTATTCTAAGGTAAGAATTTTGGTTGAGAACGGTAACATCGGCAAAAGCAGGAAAGCAGGAATCGAGCAAAATGGGTGACTTGTTCGGGTACAGTCGTTGCCTGGGTATAACAAAACAACCTTAGGATGATGCCCAACGTGTACGGAGTACCGAGGCCAATTTTTTTTTCAAAGCTATAACTTTCCCAGAGCTTATATCCTAGTGGCGGTGCAGCACGACTGCGCCTACTTAGCTATTCTCCAGTATCTGCAATGCGGTGGCCCTTGCAGTAAAGAAAAAGTACGTATAGCAGCTTCGATGTCATAGTTCTGGCCCTTTCTTTTCTTTTTTTTTTTTTGCTCGGCCACTCCTGTGAGGGTGGCAAAAAAGTAGAGAGCGCCCAATGCCCAAGGAACTTCGCCCCGGAAACGCAAATCCCGGACAAACAGCCAATTGGCGCAGAAACGACTGTTCAAATGCAAGCGTAACCCCAAATCGTGTGCTGTACACATACAGGTAACCCGTTTTCTCTTCTATACACAACATAAAACAACCATAAGAAAATCTCCCCTTGGTCACGTAGAGAGCGGAAAGGAAATCGTGACAGAAGCGAAATGTTGTCTAGTGGTGGTAGAGCGTAAGAGCTGAGAAGCGATGTAGAGTTAGGTTGCGAGCAAAGAGAGAGCGGATTATGATGTCGTGCCGGACATTCGCAGAATGAACCCGTACCTAGTGGGATATAGTCAGTATATTGTGTGTATACCTCATTTCGACCTTGCTATTGCCTAACAAGACGGTCGGTGCTTAGCGCAGACGTATCCGTAGTGTTAAATTACGGCAGAGAAATCCGGCGTATAGCAGATGGCGAAGCCATCCTAGCAACAACAGTATAATGTAATCATTAGGAATTGAAGTATAAACCGTGTTTGATCGAAGTAAAAGTGGTTCTGAGATGGGGCTGCCGATCAAGGCCAAGAGCAAGAACAGCACTACGAACACGGGTCTAGAACAGTAAATCGAATCTTCAGAGTTATGCCGAACCGGGAAAAATGTAGACATGAACTCGGAAATTTTTTGATTTTGTTTCATTCAGGGGAATCTATGCACAGGCGAGAGATGTGCCAGGGCATCCGAAACCCTTTGCGCTTCGTCTCATGTATCAAAGTCCATTTCAGTCTAGGCAAAAATGGAGTGAAAACCCAGTAAACACCTAACAACCGCACACACCGTTCCAATTCGATAGCGAGCCCTTTAAATGTGGGTATCGTAGGCGATGGGGACGACGGTCTCGGGCTTGTTGCCAGCCTGCTTGACGAAGTGGGCATCACGGGGACCAACGGCCTGACGCTTCAGGTGAACGTGGACACCCTTCTCCTTGGCCTCGCGCTTCTTGACGGCGTTCTCCTTGACACGCTTGATGAAGTCCTCACGGGAGCGGGAGTGCTGGACGTGCTCAATGCGGACGCTGATACGCTTCTCGAGGTAGCGGTTGTCGACCTTCTTGTAGAGGATGACACCGACGGCGGACTTGGTGACGTTGTAGACGACACCGGTCTTACCGTGGTAGACCTTGTGGGGCATACTGTTCAACTGTTAGATTTCGTCCTCTCTTTCCGGGTTTCGCATTGCCCATGGGGTATGATCGCAGTGGGCGGTCGGGCGAGAGCGCTGGGAGGAAGTTTCGGAATTGTACTGACCCCTTCTGGACGGCACCGTTGACCTTGAGGTCGACAATATCACCAACACTATATAAAAAAAATATCCGTCAGATTTCAATTCTTGTCGTTTGTTCGAGGTTCGAGTGTTTTTGAGCGTACCGGTAGGTCTTCATGTAGGTAGAGAGACGGATCATACCGGCCTCCTTGAAGCCACGGCTGAAGGCATACTGTTCGTCATCTCGTTAGCACTTATCCTCCCTCAGGCCCAAAGGCGTATCCAGTTGACCCAAATTGTCCTCCGAGTATGAAAAAAAGACGTGTGTCGCAAAGGGAATTAAAACGTACCCGAGTGCCGGCGCGCAGACCGTACGAGTGAGGCATGACGGCGGTGTTGTGGTTGGTGCTGGTGGTTAATTGTCGACGGGGCCTTCAACACGAAAAACTAGAGTGTCGGATAACAATTTGTGGGATTGGCATGACATAATCATGTCTACCCTCGCTAAACCAACGCTACGCCTCTTTCGGATTATTCGATCTATTTTCTCAATTGGGCTTAGCGTAATAATCAACCTTCAGCCAATCAAAGCTTGAATTTTCCCGAGCCCTTCGTTCTTTCTCGAGGTCTACTTCGAGGTTGTTGTATAAGAATGCCATGCTTCTTCTTCTTCCCCTTCTTTTCTGTAATTGTGTCAATCCTTCGGTTACTGCCACATTTATTTGGGTTTGAACTGAATTTTATCCCATGTTAGTGCTCTTAGTAATTCATAGTGTATTTGGCACATGCTAAACATAAATCATCAAAAACGGCGAGCGTGTAGGTGGTAGTGTCGGTGCTGGCGAAGGAAATACTGGCATTCTTTGATCCAACGACTACACCCTGCTATTGCCAAGACTTGAAATCGGTATTTTCCTTCGATCTCCATGATTCGTCTCCGGAGAACCAACCTTCTTTCCCGACAGACTTGGGTCTGATCATCCGACTCTGATGTTCTTAGCCATATACCGGCTTAGCCTTGTCATCCTCAGACAAACATGCAGTGACATTCACGGTCTCTCGATCTCATAGTTATGGTTCTGAATTTCAGGGCACCAACTCTCCTAGGGATTCTCGACTACGACA